TMWTAAWARWMTTKGYAWTTTYAAAKYKAATRTTTTTTTCCTGGCACAAAATTTAAGCTTGTGCATGGTTTCTAAAAAGAAGGTATTGCATGACAATTAAGCCCCAGTTACATCAAAGGTGCACCAGAGGGAACTGTGCGCATGACTGTGTGTGTGTGTGTGTGTGTGTGTAGGTGTGTGTGTGTAGCTAAACAACCGAACACATATGGAAGCAGTCGTGGGAGGAGCAGGAAGCTCTACTGTAGAAGAAAGCTCACTTTTTTTGGCAGAATGCATTAATCAGAAATATGTGGTTGTGTTTTGAAAAATTATTCTCTGCTGTGTGCTCTTTTATTTCTATAGTGCCAGAGGTCAAATTGCCTGATTAACCACAGTATCCTTTCTAACATCTGATTTGTCTTCTCTATCACGTCACAGTACAGAAGCTCTTCGATTTCTTTTAAGACGACAGTATTATTTAAATTATTGTTCTTAGTTACTTCCAACAAAAAAATAACATGAGACAAGATGCTCAGTAGTAACATTCACTCAGTTAACTATTAAATAAATACCTAAGATTAAAGCGAGGACACAAAAACATTAAAGAAAATAAATAACTACAAAACCTAAACAAATAAAACATGTATGTGTGAACATACAACTGCTTTCAGAACCCCAAAGGGAGACTCGGTGTGTCATGCCATTTCTATAAGAAAGTTTAAAGGCTCTGACACATCATACACACTGCCACAGTGAGTCTGCACGCAATGCTGCTACCATCAGACAGCCGACATGCAACTCTTCATTTCTACCGTCCAACAGGAGAGAAGGCACATTGTTTCCAGTGGCATCATCTCCCACTGACTGCACTGTACCCACAGAGATTTCTTTACAAAGTGGCCAGATTGGATAAATTACACCCTTCAGTAATATGCACGGTTGTAAAGTCTGTAAAGAAACGTGCTCTGCTCTCAAAACAGTCCTCATTTGCCTCTTTGACGGCCAACCAGTCGATGCAGCTTCTCACAGTGGTCCAGCCTCATGGACTCTGCCTTCTGCTTTAAACGCTCATCCCGGTAAAGTTGTCCGAGGTTTGCCAAGTCGGACTCTGAAAAGGAGACAAAGAAAGAAAACTATAATTATTTTACACTTCAGAGAATAGAAATCTGGTTATCGGAGCGATACGGCTTCGTCACACCTGAAAGTCTGGACCACAGTTCATGTCTGTGTCACATTATATGGGCTGCATCTGCCTATACTTGACATTGACAGATTTGTAACCGGACGTGTGTCTGATGTCAGCGTGCAGTCAATTTAGCAGGAGCTAGTCTTTCCATTTGAATGGAGAAAATGAATGAATCTGTACATTCCCTAATTTCGTTACGACAGAAATATCATTGTGGCAACAACTTCAGGCACAACACTCAACACTTGTTCCAACGTTGAAATGAACATCCTCGTCGTTTCAACATTATATAGTCGGAGGCGAAGACAGCAAGCAATCCTTCAAGCTGCTTCCGCTACTTCTTCTTCTTCTATTGTTTATTGCTGTCTCAACATCCTGCAATTGGTCCAAAAGTTTAACGAACCGAACTATAGTTCATATTTATGTGGACTGAGACCACCTCTTTTGGTTGGAGTAAGTTTTGGGTCGGACAGTGATTCGAGGAACCTTTCACACCTGATATTTTGGTTCAGACTAAAATGAAAAGTCCAAAGGTCTGGATCAAACAACTGGGGGGTTAAATTTAAAGACCCTCACGCGCATCTGTACAGCGATTATGATGTTATAACCAGCAGCCATGTTCAACATTTACAAAATCCACCTGCTAACACCTCTAAACCTCTATCACAGGAAACAATATAAAGAGATTTTACATGAATCATGAATTCACTGTAACTAAAATAGGCTCCTCGTCTCAGCCCAGTGAGCTGCTCACTTACTCTGCTGTTTCTCTTTCCAGCAGCTGTTCTGCAGGTGTTCAATATAGTCACTCTCAATTGTTTTCTCGAGTTCATCCAGCTCCTCTCCGCGGTACTCCTTCTCAAAACTTTTATCCACGTAGTAGGGTACGCCCATGTGCTGAGTTTCCCTGGACACCACCAGCCCCAAGGCCCTGAAACCCAACCACATCATTTGCATGTATTCAGTGCAACAATGGGGGGGACCCAAGTGGTTTTATTTAAATGTCACAGAGGTATCGCTGATGCTGCGGCAGACTCACGGCTTATAGAAGAGACTGTAGGGCGGGGTACTGGCCATCATCTGAGTAAACACTGATATGAGGATTAGCACAAGCACGGGGAGAAGCTGCAGGAGCGCTGTGAAGGTGTTCTGTGGGAAGAGAAAATCAGCACAGATTACAAAGCATGTAATACTTTATGTAGGCCGCACTGATACTCTGTGTTCATGCCAGCGTGGTACTGCTGTGTCTTTGAAGCTAACTGTGACGTTACACGGCAGTCAAAGCACTTTGGTTATGAGTCAAGTAAATGAGTGACATTAAATAAATCGTTATGGACTGCAGCCATGTTAAAAGCATGATCAAAAACCTCATTTCACCACAGTTCTCCACTGCAAACTAATGATAAGAATCTCCACAAGAGGATCATAATATAACACTGTGGCTGTCTAAAAGGGATTTATCTTTTTGTTTAGTGAGTCACTGACCTGACTCTGGTTGTCTTCCACCACCTCCTCACGCCTTTCATAGGCACGTCGACGACGAGGCTGATAGAACTGAGAGTAGGAGGCTCCCTGGTTGGTGTACACGTGGATGTTTCCTGTGGAGAGAGACACACAGTTCTAGAACATCTACACTTGCAAACAAGACAGCAGATAATATTTGTGGCTAACAGCAACAATCGAAAAACAAGACGGACAACAATAATAATAAATACTATCACTAATAATAAAAGATTTACTGCTTTTATTTTTTTATTATTAAATCAAAAATCCCTCACGTCTCACTGAGCCACTTACCTGTGGGAAACCTGCCTCCAAAGAAAATGTTGAAGAGCTCCTCTGGAGAAATGTCGGCCTCAAAGTCTCTGTTGAAGCTTCGGTAGTGTCCGTGGCGACTGTGGCTGGATTGTTGGGGTGTGTTTGAAGCTGCAGACTGGTCTCCATACTGATCATACTGTTGCCTCTTTTCTGGATTGCTCAGTACTGCATATGCATTTCCTATTGCTGTTGGGAGAGAGAGGGATAAAGCAGAATATACCAATCAATGATGCTGCAACATGACAATATGTATTGATTTTCCACTACTTGGTGAATGATCATAGTTTATGAGATGAGAATGTATACAATGATGTATACAGATACAGTCATTGTATACAATGATTCTCATGCAAGTTCTGAAGTTATAAGATTTATTTTCTGATTTCTTATTTATTGATATTATTGGCAACGTACATCAGAATTCAGATTTGTCTGAGTTATGACTTTGAGAAGCTGTATGAAGTTGGACCTAAATTTGCTGATGTGTTGCATTACTGCTGCCTGTAACTGCTGACTGCTCTTGTTTTCAGAAAACCGACACGAATTTGTCCCTTTCACCTTGTGCAGCATCTTTTTATCATGTCTCTCTTTGAAACTAAGCTCAAAACAGAATTCATAAACATGATTAAAACTGGTCAAATAAAGTGACCAAGCTTCGAGCATCTGCCCTGCTAAAGTTAGTTTAAACAAGATACAACAAGCATGAGAATGCTGCTCTTGAACTGACTATGATGTCAGCCTTTGGTAAATGGTGTTTAACTGAGAAAAAAAAATTAGATCAGTTGAATTTTTGCATTAAATGAGAGCAATGCTCAACCCAGTCACACAAAAAAAGGTGTTTGGCTAAACCTTTGAAAGCATCTGTGGCTCCCGGGGCGAAGTTCTTGTCAGGGTGAAACTTGAGGGCCAACTTCCTGTAAGCCTTCTTCAAATCTTCATCGCTGGCATTTTTGGGAACACCAAGGATTTCATAAAAATCCTTGCAATTCTTTATCCTGCAACAACAATAAGTAATGTTAGTGAACATATTCACGTGGTAGTTACATGTAGATTTACAGAGAGCCCCATCCAACAGTCAATATTATATCTACATGCACTGATCCAAAAGCTGATACTGGAAAACCTCACCATTAACATGTTGGCAGCTGGGAACAGCCACAGTTAAATGTTGCTGAGCAATGACAGAGATCAGACTCTCATGAGTGTGAATAACAAATGTGAAAGAATAGAGTCCCCGTTCACCTGAGAACGCCCTGCCGTTGATCCTCCGTGTAGCTCTTCTTCTCGTCACCACTTGCTTCACCATTTCGGATATCCTCGTCCCTCCAGCCTGTTGGAGGGGGCATGTGGTTTGTTTCGGGGGCTGCACTGCTTCCATTCCTTACAATGGCATCTATCAGCACTACAGACAGAGAAGAGTGTCTCAGTTCAGTCGACAATTCAGATGGAAAGAACATGCACAATGAACAGAAGTCCACTTGTTAATTCATCATTCATCCTCTCTCCCGACACCCATATTTATAGTATGAGCAGAGTGATATTGACCAACAACAAAAAGTCTTCCATTGCACAATATATGCAAAATCACATCGACTGTGACATTTACTGCCTCGTGCATGTTGTGTTCACAGGACCTAAAGAAATCTATTCAAGGTTAAGGTTTTATTGCATCTCGCTGGATATTAAAGACAAATTACTTTAACTAAGTTATTTAGGTTTAGGGGCTTAGTTTCAGCCTAAGTAGGAAAATGAGTGTGACTTTCCAGATTCAGAAACTGTCAGTGTTATTGGTGAGGGGCCACCCACCTTAGATTAGAGGGTCTCAACATTTCCTTTACATTTTCAGTCATATATATATTCATATGTACATATACCATTTTTAACTGACTCTGCATAAGCATTAGCCCTTCAAGTTCCAAGATGATTTAAAACACAAGGTGGCGCTATGAGCCATGTTTCACCTATATATGTAGATTTATTTTAATACATTAGGTAGTAAGTGTGATATTAAAACCAGCATTGATGTGTTTCATCAAAGATCAGTTATATAATTTAGTTTACAGCAGTTTACAGAAACACGTGTACCTGCAGGATCTTTTTAGATAACAGGTGAGAATAACATTTATTCAAACTTTTCACACAGCGCCTCCTTACTGTCCGCCTGTGAACTGCAGCAGGGGAGCAGTAATAAATCCCAGCAGTGGCCTGAACAAACAGCATTGATCAATGATACATTTATACTGGAAAGCTTATTTCCCCCCAATCTGAAAATAACAATCCCCTGTGTGCGTCCTGAGCTGAGGGAACATGTGGATAAGTCAGTCACTGGAGCTGGGTTAGCTTGACATTACGGTGCAGCGTTAGCAGGCGGCTAATGTTACCTCTGGCCCGGGTGCTGGGGTAAATATTCTGGGCTTCGTGCAGCAGCTGCAGCGCTCGGTCCTTCCGCCCTGACCGCAGACACAGCTTGGCCTTCTCTATCAGCCGGTCCGCTTCTGCTTTCTCCATGTCCCCGGCACGTTACTGGGGCTGTTCGGCCCACACTGGTCGCTGTCTGCGGAGCTCTGTCCCCGGTGCAACGTGCGTCAATGCGACCATACGGCGACGCGGCCCGGGTTAGCCGATTAGCTTAGCCTTCTGACGGCTGCGTAACGTTAGCTGGGTCCGAGGCTGCGGGAGCTCACTGTCCGAGGGGCAGACGATGGTGGAGGGTGTCAGGCGGAGAACAGGCCTGCAGCTGAGCCATGGTTCGAAGAGATGTCGGTCTAAGGACGGGTCGTTAGGAAGACTTGTTTTGTTTTTAGATTCCGCTGAGTTTAAAGGGCCACAGCTGACAGACACTGAGCCACTGGAGCTGTGACGACACGAGGAGACAACGCGTCATTTCCTTCGGAGTGAGGTCTGAAATCTTTCTGTTTCATCGATATTTTCTTGTCAGTCGAAAACACCCAGACAAAAGAGTGTTTTTGAGTATTCACTGGCTCGATAGTGTTTTTGAGGTCTGAAATCTCCTGAAAACCTTGTTCTGACAGTTACTCACCTGGATTTGTGTTTGTCAGCGAGTGAGGCATGTGTCTAATAAAGCTGCTGCTGCATTTAAGGTATTTTGCTTGTGATTAGTGGTGCAGTGGTTATGAAGCCTGCACACTGGAGTCACTGTATCAAGGTTGCACTTATGCATGCACTTGACCAATCGTGAGTTCCTCAGTTACGTCAATCATGATTTTTCACCTTGTTTTATAATATCAAATGAGTACTTAATACCAAACTTAGTGGTAAAATGAGCAATCCAACATACTTCACTGTGGTGAGAACTACCTAAAATAACAGAAACCATCTGTAAGAGAAAAATATTTGATGAGTTTTTCTTTAACTTTATTTTCTGAAATGTCCCTTCCACTAATATGGAGGAGGCAAGCTTATAGTGCAACCAGCCACCAGGGGGCGAACAAGACACTTCCATTTTTGGGTCCATCTTTAGTCAGTCTATGCAGTGAGTTATTCATCCACCCATCCATCTATCTATCTGTCCATCTATCTATCTGTTTATCTACTGATACAGAGATCAGGTTCTTGGTTGACTACACTGAGCACAAGTAGCCCCTTATTATTTTATTTATTGAGGGTTTCTATCTGGCTGTCATGCAGAAGGCTAAAATTAGCATTAATACTTTCACCAGTGAGAGGGAAACGGTGCAACATGTTTTTGTTCATGCATATTTTATTCAACAGTAAAAAAATGTGATTTGTCCCATAGGGCATGCTTACAATGTGTGTATTGTTTAGGAAGTCAAATGCCAAAACATATTTCCATAGATAATAAAAAATGTTGCAAGATAAAATCCATTATACTTGTTTGTTGAAATATGCATGTAGACCATACAAGAACCAGAAACGGAGGAAGGAAAATAACCATAAGCTAAATTGTAACAATAATAATATCAGCAGTAAATAGAACCAGAATACAATGTTTCCTGTTAAATGTTAGTGCGACACACGATTTTCTTTGTGTCCATTTCATTTACATCTGAAAACCATGCTATCATGCTTTGGCAGCCTGAAAGTTGCTTTTCACTGAGATTATATTCATTCACACTATTGAACATTTTCTGTACATCAGTACAACAGAAAAAAAAATAAACACAAGGCTTCACATCTCTGCATACGATAAATCAATATAAAATTAAAAGCAGTGGTAATAAATAACAGAATGAAAAAAAATTGACAGAACAATCAAAGGAAGCCTATTTATAAAACCTGTAAAACAAGACAAATAAAACAACAAACATAATTCCAAAAATAAAATAATTCAAGTTTACTATTTGAAACACAACTATCACAATTATAATCTCACATAACAATTAGGAACTTAACTGCATGCATTGATGCGTTCCGTACCATAGATGCTGTGTTAAAAATCGCTTATCCATCCTTTCTTGAAATACCTTCATCTTTAAATAGCAAGATGGAAAATAAGGTAGAAAAAATATTGATGCATGAAAGGAAATTCTAGAAATTTATGTGACAGTGTGTGTTGGGGTATGTCGACTTTCCCAAACTGTGTATTTTGAAAGAAAGGGGATGTTTCCTGTTTTATTCATTTGTCTCTTTTCTCTTCCTCTATCAGTCAAAAGAAACCATTTTAGTGCAACATGGCATTTTATGATATAAACTGACCCATCAAAGGATTTTGACACATTACTTTATGTTTGGATATTGAATCACAGTGTGGATGCTTTTCTCAGCCTGTTTCTCCACTAAGATTAGTGTAGCTTAGAAAATGTGATAGAAAAACAAGAAATCATACTGATTAACACATTTAAATGCAATATTGGATGGAGAGGGAAGAATTCCTGACTAGTAAAAAGTAAAGTTAAATGTATTCTCAAAAGTAGCATTAATTAACAAAAATTTTTTGTCGAGATACATTTTTTGAAATTCATTCAATACATTTCAGGGTAGATTCCAAATGACACAATGATATGTGGTAATTAAATTCTCTTCAAACAAAAACATATCTCAATTTTATGCAATCCCAAATTAGTAGAATTCCTTAGTTAGTTATAGTACTAAGTGAAGCTCCTCGGCATGGCATCTCATTGAATTGGTCGCACAGCAAAAAGTGCAAAAAACTCAAAGGGCAAAAATGTGTTCTTGAGTGACTGCACATATTCTTTTAGTTTCTCTTTAGCAACAAGCAGGTGAGATATAATCAGGTAGTGTGTGACAGCAGAGGATGTCCCAGAGTTCAAAATCTCTCTTTTTTCGCCCCTGTGGTCCAGAAGTAGGCGTTTAATGCCGCTTTGTTGCCATTCATACCAATGCAGGGGAGACCATGATTCAAAGCCTCCTTCAGTATATACATTCCAGAGAGAGAATTGCAAAATGAGTGAGGTATAGCTCGATCAAATGCCATGCTTCTCTGAGGCTTGAATAATTAGTGGAGAGGAAGAAAATAACTTGGTGGATGTTCTAGATGAAATAATAATCCTCTGAGTTTGGATGAAGATTCTTGCTCATTTGGGATGGTGTGGTCCTTTTTGGAGCTATTTTCAGATGTTAAATCTCAGGGTTTCATCTGCTGAGGTACCTACAGGAATAATCAGATTCAAATTTTACTACTACTCCTTTCATCCCCTCCCTTTGTCCCCTCATCCCCTCCAAGTTATTTCGAGCTAGGAGATGACTGATAATGATGGAGGAGAGGAAAGGAGTTTACCGAGACATACAGTGGAGATTGATCTCTGACTGTAGCGGCTTTGGTGGTTAGGAAGATGGTGGCATCTTATATCAAGGTAAATCAATACATTTAAGTCCACAAGTAAGACTGCGCTGCAAGTAAGTTTTCAAAGGTATATGGTTTGTTTCTTTTTGCTTTCTTTCTCACAAAGTGGCGTGACTTGGTAATACTAGCAAAACAAGTAGGTAAACAAGATTATGTTGCTCAGAAGTGAAATTGTGAGTGATTCCATAATAATAAACACTTTAGAAAATAGTAAAATGATTTGTGTGGCATGGATACTGCAGTTATGTCTTCTGTCAGGCCCTGTCAAGACGGAGCAGACATTTGTCAACGCTCAGAACAACACAGCCCCCAACAATTCAGTCTGTAATTGAACTGACAAAAAAGGGAACAACAGGCAGAGACAACTTTAAATCACACGTTTACCAGACAAGCTGCAGCCTGCTGGCCTCCACTTACCCCCTGCCGTCTGCCGTGAACCCCAGCTCCCCCCTCCCCCAACCGTGCAATGACACTGTCATGAAAAAAGTGACCCTTTTTGCTCATTTTAGATTTGCTGCAGATTTCATGTTCTGTCTTTGGGCCTGTTTGATTTCGATGCTCTGAGGCCTGAATTCCCGATTTGGCAATGTCTTGCTGCGCAGCGCAACAGCGGCACAGTTCTGAGGCTCAGACAGCCCATCACTGGATGTTGCTGTTGTCATCCGTGCCATTTGCCTCCGACATATTCATCTTCCCCATGGAGTGACCCACGTGGTTCACCCCGTCCTTGCGAGGTGGCATGCGCTCGTTGATGCGGTCCAGGCCCTTGGCCTCTGCAAAGCTGGTGATCTTGTGCTGGGGGGAAAAGCCACGGATCGCTGAAAAGAGAAGACACATAAAAAGGTATGAAGCTGATCATTTTCCTAATATATCATGTTGTGTAATTTCCTCACGATATCAAATGCTATTAGGAATTCCATATAGGTTTTCTTCCTTTCTTTATTCAAGAGTGTGGATTTTCAGACTATTTCATTTGTCAACACTACACCTGACATTCTGTTGGTTTGAGAGACTTCTTGCTCCAAAAAACAGATGTTTCACACGTGCAAAGAAGCAGTGTGAGCGTGAGGAGAAGAGATAAAGCTGGAGTGCAGCAAGCGCAAATGCAGGGTTTTGAGTGAAAGCATTACAAAATCTGAACATGAAATCAATGCATCCTGCAACTGAACTACCACGCTCTTGAATAAAAATAGCAAAAATACCGAATACAATTCAGAGGCATTATATACCAAAGAAGACAACTGAGCCTATTTCAATGACAGATATCCGTATGAAATATATTATATGATGCTTTAAAATTTCTTTTTTGTTTGTCACATATTGCCCATATAAGCTGCTCAGTTATTCTTGCAGTTGACATTAGTGACAGGGCAAAGAAGAAGCTTAAGATGAAAAGTCAGACTTTGATATTTCAAAGATTCTTTGTGACATTTGCACTGGTTGTTAAAGTTGACACCACAGACAAAAACTGTAAAACAAAAAAAAACAAAAAAGTTAAACATTTCAGTTTTAATTGTAAAATGTTCAAATGAAATAAAGCTTCTTTAGTTTTTAGGAGGCAACATCGGCAGGATGGCCTGGTACTGCAGTGGTTTTTTTCCTGTAGATGGTTAACATATGTAGATGTGGCCTAAAACAACCTCCTGTCCATCAACTGATATCCTTGTGCTTTACACGTTAGAAATTCCTCACCTTACATGTCCCACACCAGTTTCCACAATCCAGTAGTCGCTTGTCACTTGAAATATTTGTATTCTATTATTTCCTAAATTAACCAGACACATTTAATAGCAAGAAAGTGAACTTTAACTGAAAAACAACAATGGCCAATGTTTTCCATCCTGCTAAATATTTCAAATAAGATATGCAATTAATAAAAAAAAAAAGGACTTGCGATGGTTATGGTCGCTGTCTCATCATGGACCGTCTGGGTTAGTGAGCAATGATTACCTTCAACATATCACTAGGAGCTGAGGCTTCAAGATGCATATTTCATGTTGATGCTCCGGTCTGTTTCCTGTTCTTGTGCATGCAACACTTTTTAAAACCAGATGGAGGCTATTTACAAGCCAAACCCGAACAATGAAGTATTTTAGTCATGCATGTTTTAGCAGCACTTGACTTTGCAGTGTTTAAATGTATTATGATAGTCCCCTTAAGCCTTAAAAAGCTATTCCCTTTACTTATTTTGCATTTATTTCCAATGGTAAGGGTTAAATATTGTGACCCCTTTTCATTTGGCTGAAAGCTAGAATGCACTGATTGTCCAACAATTTATGTTATCTTCTGTTCCCTGGCCGCTCAGCAAGTGTGTGACCCAAGAGCGACAAGATCATGATCCCTCACCAGCTTCCCTCCCTGGAAATACTGTCGACTGTAAGTTGTTTTTCCTTTTCACCACCCAGGAATGATTCTTTGATAACTATTATTCTGCATGAGGTGGACTATGTTACAAAAAAACATGTTTCTAATTCAAATTCACATTTTTAGTTAATTTGTTAGCAGGGTTACATGATGTTAGGACTGATCCAGGAATTCTTTCCAATAACTAATTCAATAATTCATGGATCTTGATTAAAACATTTTTTAGGGAACTGATATCTATGAGTGTGCAGCTTGATTTAATTTAAGGGGACTGTTGGGCCCTGGCAGAAGTATGCACTCTACTGAGTACCATTCGAGTTTAAAAAAATATCATCATCCATTTTAAAATAATCCTCACGCTCTAAAATTTTAAATCCACTCATTTAGTTGAATTTCAGTTTTAATCAATACTGCAAAGGAAAGTGCTGGCCATACGAAATGTTGCTTGATTGAGTCTTCATTATGTGAGTTGTTGAATGCATGAACTTGTCGGTGGGAGGTGGCCTCTGCAGCAAGAGATGTGTGTTTTTGGATGGGTTGGAGGAGGAGCACAGATTTACCTTCTCCGTCCTCATCATGCTCCTCGGTGGCTTCAATGGCTTCAATGGTGGCTGAGGGGGGAGGAGGGGGAGCAGGTTACTCATGACAAAGCCATGCAAATGTAAAAAAATGTGGCCCCGGCGTGAAGGCGGCTCGTTTAAGGTTAGATGCATTACACATTTTCACCGGCAAAACAACCAAACCGAGAGGAGCAGCGTGCATTAAGGCTAAAATAATTCATGTCAATGTGGGGTTAAAAAAAAGAAATGGAAATAGCAAAGAGAGTGAGAGTGAGTGACAGATATTGAGATGGAAAGAGTAACAGATAGAGGAGAGGACAGAAATACAATTTTCTCACTTGATAATTTTAAAAAGATTTCATCATTTCAAAAAACTGAAATAATATCTCGATGAACGTTATTGCTATCACTGCTGTCAGCACACCGGTGGTGACACACTCATGGATAGCACTTTAACAGGTTTTGTACACAAGACTGGGCTAAACCTTGATTTGAAAATACTTCTTGATTTAAACACTCAAACAAATCCTGGGTCTTTGTGGATGCGTGTGGATGTGTTGTTCATGTGAAGTGGCACAGTGCTGTGGTAAAGAGCTGGAGAAGATCCAGCGAGCTTAAGAGAGACTGACATAAGTCAATAATAGAATAGAATAGAAATAGAATTCCAAATTAGTTCAAATGTTCTGTCACCTGTTTGTTTAAAAAAAAAACTATTAACAGTTGAGCTGTAATAACCTGTGAGACAAGGGTTATGAGGGTGAGTTTGTTTTACCTATTTGTATCGACATTGTTTGGTACTATGATGGGAACTATGATACAGCAGGAGCAACAAGCTACAAGTAATAAACATTTGCCGCCTTTCAACTAGGAACCTTTGCAGGATTCTCTTGCGTAACTCGGTTTTTAGCATCATTGTTGTTGTATCTGCATTGCCGCAGCATTACCGCAGCATGGTGGACTGGAGTGGGGATTTTTTTTTCAGGCTGACAAATCAGGGAAGGCTATGTCGTCACCTAAAAGACCCAGTCAGCAGGAGTTTGTGAACGGTTATGTCATTGTTCTGAAAACATCTCTGTTCCTGCCCGTACAGATGAAATCGCAGCCCCGGAGTATTCAAACTGGGCCGGCAGCATTTTCAAACATTTCAGCAGCTCTAAGAGTAGTGTGGACCCCAGGCATCTCCATAGCAGCATTTTCAAAAGAAAAACGCTCTTGGTCAAGATCTTCTTTTAGTTGCCTAAAAATGATAAGAAAATTGATAAATGATTTCAAACACAAAGATTGCTGGCAGCTCTGCATTAAAGACAGAGAAGGAGAAAGAGAAGGAGAAAGAGAAGGAGAGAGGAGAAAAAGAAGGAGTAAGAGAAGGAGAGAGGAAGGAACTGAAAGATGGAGGAAATGATGGAGGAAAGGCTTATGCTGAGCCTTGAGCTCACCGCTCTGCAGTGTCTGTCTGCCTCCAGAGAGAACCCCGCTCGGCAGCATGCCAGTGGGCGTCAGGCCCTTCAGCGTCAACACATTTTCACTCTCCTCTCTGCAGGAAACACAGACACACGCAAACAGGCCAGAAAACCTTGCTGAACCTTGATCAAACTAGAAAAAACACAAACTTCATGCTTCACTCTGACAACACATCCGCTCCCTCTATACATGTTCATGTACAAAAAAAACCCAATACAGAATATGAAAACACACTGCGCACTCATTCTTACAGTCACGCACACAAAGATAAAGTCTACCTGAGAACTTGGAACATTTTGGCCATTTTCCCAATAGCTCGGATCTTGTTCTTGATCACCTCCTTACGTGCTGCAGCTGCATTGGCTACAAAGAAATATTTATACACACTGTCATTATATGCTTTAGTGTATGTTGGGCTTGAAGATGCATGAAACAATCATCGAAATGAAAAAACTCAAAATCAAGTGGGTTTAAATGTGGTTTCATAGAGGACATTAGATGTATCGCAAAATAATTTGAGCCAGTATTTAAAGGTGATACATTTGTAGAAGTGAATGGAAAAGAGAAGAATTTGCGATGGGTCTCTTGGTGAGAAAGCGATGCCAAACTCCTAACTTCTAACTTCTAACTTGGCACATTCGAAAAGGAAGACGCTTGGTGTGAAAAGATTAAGATGTGAACAGTTCAAATGTACACATCTCGTCTCATGAAGGAGCTTGTTTAGTTTGTGCAGTCTGAACTGAACTTGTAATGCACTGATTAGAGGAATCAATAATTCATTATTCAATCGTTAAATGCAAGACTTCTCACCATCAAAGATCTCGTCTTCATCATTCATGAGTTCATCATCAGAGCAGATGCTCAGCACATTCACCAGCATTTCTGTGACTGCATGGGGAAGAGATAGAGAGAAGAGATCATTAAAAGATAAAGATGTGGTGTTGTCTTAAAAACACCAGACAGATATCCGAAGATTTCATACCCTTCTCTCCGACAAATGGCAGAGACCAGGTAAAGACGTCCATAAAGTTGGGCAGCCAGTAGGGATGGGGGGAGCAGTTGAACTGTCGGATGTTCATGACGTTATTTTCATACTTCAGTACAGCAGCTGGTGGGGAAGCAGATGGTGAGACAAATATCGTCTACATACTATAAAAGTATGTATGAAGTATGATACTATAATGTTCAATAAACAACATTTATGTTTATCACAGACAAATCAGTATGGACATATACTCCTTAATGTTAAGCTTTTTTCAATAAAATTAAATAAAATAATTGACAAAATAAAGAATTAAGATATAGAGCTACAATCATAGAAATAAAAACCCAGACAGATGTTTTGAGTAAGTTCATCAAAACAAAAATATCATTTATGGACATTGCTATCGCCAAAACCATGTGTCTAGCTAGTCGTCCAAAGGCAGCCACGTATCGTTGGACCAAAGCAAGAACATTTTAGTTTTGTTCTTAGTTATTCGTAAATGATACACAGAACCAACCCTTACCCCTATATGATAAAAAAAAACATTCAATGGCAATGGCAACAAACTGTCACTTTGTTTTTTAGTGTGCTCTGTGCAGGATCTATTCATATACTCCCATAGCCACATGCACGGCAATAATTCCTATATGCTTCAATTGTTTTGTTTTGTTAATGTTTGATGGTGTTTTCATATTAAGACAAACAGCCCCCTTGTGCATGTGCAGAGTGAGAGCAGAAAAATGAGACATTCAGCCACCAGATGGCCCAGCTGAGGCCAGGGATCGCTGACACTGTTACATCAAGAGGGATAAAGCCACATGGAGATAGTCAGTGATGCAGTCCCTCCCACACTCCCCATCTCCCACAGCCCATGGCAACCAAGACCCAGGCCAGAGAACACAAACAAAACGGGGGCTCCCTGATGCATTCTAGAGCCCATCAACAAGCTAAACACACGTACATTAACTCAAACACTCTAGTTTGTGCTGTTAAAGCAATTTTTATAGACTAGACTAGACAGAGGAGCCCATACATCAGATCTTTCTTAGATTTGTCTCTTTTCTTTGCAAACAGGGAAAGTTGCAAGGCCAGAAGTGCAGGCGTTTCAAAGGGGAATTGGGGCAACTTTCTCTTTCAACACAAACGTTTCTGTTTCCCGCTTTAACATCTATTTCACTAAATTCATCTCTTCATTACCTTACTCATGCCTTAACATTGCCTATATATCATATATATTTTACTTCTTTTTTTATTATCAGGAATAATCCCTTTTAATTTCTCTGTGATTTTTTGGGGGAAAAACTCGGATCAAGGTGCAAACAGGAACAAACGAAAGCAATAAAATGAACAAAGGGATTTTCTGACCTTTGTTGTTGTAAACATCCAGGTAGTTTGGCGCTGAGAAGATTGTAATGAGCGATGGAAATCCAGTTGTCTGACTTTTGCGGTACATGCGGTAGCTTCAAGGCAGTCAGGTGGAGGTAAAGACAGAAGAAAAACAAAGCTGATTCTCACATGTGTCAATATGTTTCTATTTTTGTTTTAGCACAGGTATGTGTGTTGTAGAGATAACATACCCTGCATCTTGTGCTTCATGCGCTCGAATAATTGATAATAGGTTATTGCTCTGTAGGAACTCACAAACAGCCGGATAACTGGAAAAGAGGGAAAAACATGTTAGAGACGTTACCGAACATGCATTTAAACCCTCAGAGAACAGAGAATGACAGACTACAAATCAACTGATTTAAGAAAACAATCTTGTTACAACTTGACAGAATTTAAAAAAATATGTTCTATTCCATCTAACAGCAGAACTGCTTTTAAGCTGCAGGTTACTAATTCAGTTTTACTTACTAAAAAATGAAAAACAAAGATCCGCCACTCATGAATGCATTTATGAAAGCCGTGCTGAGGATGATGCAAGGCTGTGAAAAACCAATCCACAAGCTACCTGTTGCAGTGAGACACAAACTAACCCAGAAAGAGGCAGTCACATCTTCCTGCCCCTGAGCTCGGACAAGAAATGTGGCTGGAATGGAGCGAATCCCGTGAGCAGATGATTAAGTATAATTAAGTGGTATAATGTTGCTGCTGTGTTTACTGTGTATAAAGTGCAAGCTTTGCAATAAGGTCTATAAGTGATAAGCGCTCCACACATTCAATTCATCTGCTACTGTTTCTTTGCTTAACAGCAAGAGTTTGAATTCTGAGTTTGCATGTCCTTCTCCGGGTACTCCAGTTTCCTCACAGTCCAAACACAGATAAGGGTTAGGTTAATTGAAGACTCTAAATTGACTGTAGGTGTGAATTTGTTACTGTATGTCAGCCCTGTGATTCCCTGGTACCTCCACATATACCTCGCCTCTCGCCCAATATCAGATGCCATTGGCTCCAGCTGCCCCCATGACTCTCACAGGATAAGCAGTACAGATAATGAATGGATAGATGTATGGACGGATGGATGTTTGGATGGATGGATGGATGAATAGATGGATAGATGGATAGATGGATGGATTAAGTGATTTAGACTTTCCTGGTTGTTCATTGGTTCACACATTATAATGTTTGGATTCTATTTATGTCTGTCACAGTGCAAAATGAATTACTGTGATGAGTAGGTGCTGCTGTCTTTGGTTCTTTCCATAATTTGATGATCATGTGACTTTTGAGAATTGCAAGTTAAGTCAAAGTTTATTTAAAGGCTATGTTTAAAACAACCACCAACCCTTGTTTCTAAAAACAAAATAAAATAATAGTAAAATGGATATAAAAACAGAGAATAAATAGAAAATACAAAAGCAATGAAAGGTCAGATATCAGAAATAATTGAGAATTAAAATATATAAAAATATATCTAGATTTGGCTCTTTGTTTCATTTAAGTGACCAATAAGAATACATGTTAGACTTCTATCTTCAAAAAAGCTATTACTGAAGCCACCAATCCGATAATGTTATCCTTTTTATCATCCCTGTTATTTCTCCATATTTTCTGGCCAGATGGACAATGAGCTGTTCAACAGAGGAAGATGACACATGACTTCCTGTGTGACACTTCTGAATGGAGTTGTTTTAGCTGTGGCTCAGACATGGAGCCGACATGGAGCAGAAACCATGAGAGAGTGAAGTGCTCAGGAAATATCAGACCTGTGTGGCACAGGAGGGACGAGTAATGAGAATTAGGACACGTCCAGCTGCAGTGTGAGTGGAGATGATCATTCAGCAGCTCTCAGCACAACTGTTATGCAATGCCCAGAAGGTTGTGTTATGTCATTCAGAAACTTTATCATCCCCTGATAAAAAATTATAAAAGATAATCGTTTGGTTAGCTCTTTTTAGACGATTCTTGCTAGTAGGTCAACACCTATTCATTCTGTCACCTCTGACAAATAATAACCTCAGATGTGATTTCTCAGCCATCCGTCCATCCATCAATGCATACGTAGCCACATTGGTGGCTAGCTTTTTTTTTTCGAGATGAAGAGCAAATGGGTATTGTAATTGGCCCCTTTGGAAAACTAGAAAGGCACTAATTAAATCTCATGCCGCCACCATCTGGGCACGATGGGTTCTTCCCTGACCCATACGCATCCTTCCATCAGGTTTTGTGGATATAAGTTCGGTTGTTTTTGACAGATTTTTCTAACATACCAACAAACCAACCAACAAACACAAATAGGTTACAAAATGACCTCTGTGGTGGAGGTAATGAGGCCCACCAGACAACCTAAACTGAGATCGACAATTATTACTTTGATGTTTTCCAATAATCATATTATGTTATGTTTTGGGCTGTAACTATTAACTACTATTGTTTTCATTGATTCATCTATTATTTTTTGATTCATCCATTCTGCTTTTAGTTGATAAATATCAAAAGATGGTAAACATTTTCACGAATCACAATTTGAGGAAGCCAAGGTAACGTGATGCCTTTGCTTGTTTTGTTTGACAAACGATGTCAAACCCAAGATATATAATTTACAGCAATAAACCGAAAAAAATTAAGACACAATATTTTTTATTAATATATCCATAATTCTGATTTTGGACCACTGATTGATTACCAACAACCAATTCAATGCCAGCCATGTTTTTATCCTAGCCTAGAAACCATTCAGTATTATAGGATATCCTCCCCAGCAACAATCCTGTCTTCCAGGAGATCGTCGTCACTGCCGTCCATGGACCTATCAAACTTTCACAAGTGTTTAAAATATTGATGTGCTCAAAGGTTTGTACCCGAAAGAAAAACAATGAGACTGCTCTGCCCGTACACCTGGCGAAACTGTGCCATGCTCATATACTGTATCTAGGTCACAAGGCTATATCGTTCCCTTGGTGGCCAATATAGAAAGAGCTGCATAACACATGAATATGCTGCAACTCTTTCCACCATGACTGACAGTGCAGCCGAACATAACAGGAAAATGCTGCTCTCAAGAATGTTATATAACTGTCTCTATTAAAACCAAATTTACAATTCATTTCTTATTCAGAAATAAGGCCAATTATTGCACTGCACTTTTTAAACGTTACGTACGCAGTTTTGTGCACAAACGTCATGTACAAATCCAAATCCTAATGCACTTTATGTCCTAATTAATTTTTGGTCCGTTCCAATGGTACGTATTGATAAGTGCAATGAACACGGTGCAGACACTGCTTGCCTGCGGCTGGCATTCCTTCTCTCCTCTTTGTGAAAACACACAATTATGTGTCGTGAGCCTGCGAGAGAAAGGGAGAGAGGGAAAGAGAGAGCGAGAAATTTGACAAGTGAGTATGAGTGAGTTCGACAGAGAGAGAGATGGAAGTGTTGTGCTGTGAGTGTGAAACTCACAGAAAGGTTTTTTTTCTCTTTCCCCTGAGAAAATCCATCTGTCGAGCTGATGACCATAACATTAATATCCCCCATTATATAATACATTTTTTAAAATCTAAATCCATGAATTATTCTTTGAGAAATGAATGAAAATGTTAAAACGTTGCAAGAATTTTAAAAAGAGAAACAAATAGTTAGAGCCAGCTTCTGATCTCCATTTCAACCAAAATTGAATGGCTGCTTCCCTGACCTATACCTCATCCTCCCATCAGGGCGCATGGAAATTGGTCGAGTAGTTTTTGTATAATCCTGGTAACAAACAAACCCAGACAAAACTAGAATGGAACTCAGTAGCACTCATACTGCAGAGGTTTAATCAAGCTACACCAAATGTCACACATTGATAGATATCAGTCCCCTGTATGTGCCTGATTTATTTTGATTTAGATTCATTAATTATCCCCTGCGAGATCTGTGAAAAGGTCTAATAAAAACACCCTCTCTCCCCGTTAAAGAAAGTCAAAAAGAAATCCTGGATCCACCCCCCCTGATTCTGATCGGCACCAAAATTGAATGGGTTCTTCCCTGACCCAGATCCTTCTGCCAAGTTTCATGGAAATTAGTTGAGTAGTTATTGTGTAATCCAGGTCACACACACACACACACACACACACAAACAAACAAACAAACAAACAAATAAACAAACAAACAGATGAAAACAAAACCTCCATGCGGATGTAATGTAAAAATAAACTAAAGTAGCAAAACTCAATGTGTAGTGTAGCGAGGTACTATGTGACAATAGGCTTATACAAACACTTATGCATCACTGAATAAGCTTTTGTGTGAAAATATCACATAAATGTTATATAGGCTGTCATATATAAAAACTTAATATCAGCATTGTGGGGATTTTTTTCATAGGTATACATTTCATCGCTTTATTGATGACAGGGCCATGGACATTTCATATTTTGAATTTAAGGGCCAATGCATCAGTTTGTTCATAGTTACCAACAAAACAGCTCAATGCCATAGGAGAGCAAGAGCTGACTTGTACAAAACTCTGGAGGCAACAGATTTTCTGCAAAATTTGTAGCATCTATTTTTTAAACATTCTCTTCAGCTCTGAGGAAGGAAGCAGAACTGTTCAGTATTGATTTCACAGAACACGTTCAGGGAGTCAAAATAACACGGCCCAATGCACCATGCAGTGTGGGTCTGCGTGAACAGCTCACATATTGCATCAATCAGTCATTGTCAATATGTAGCTTCAAATCGGTGATTGAATTTTAATGCCCTTCCCTTTTTTCTTATTCCTGCTATATCTACTTCTGTATCACAAAGAGATTTCCTTGCATTTCCCAGAAATCCTCAGGAGAGTGCGGCTCTCCGTGCTGCATACATACTGTATCGTTGGCATGAGACATAATGATGGAGAGGTAAGTTTGAGAGTGAAGGCAGAACAAAGCCACAGGGAGATAGATGACTATTATAGCAGCATCCTCCACACATCTACAGAATAATCCTCACTAAGCTCCTCTCTCACTGTTGCTTTCTTATCGTGACCATTGAACAGCAGTGAGAGTGGGAACTAAACACCCTTCACCTGGGTTTCTCCTGTATCATATTCATCATATTCACCATATCGCCTTGAACCCTACCACTATTATTATTCACTCATGTGTCAGCTGAGGTTTTACCTTTTTTAACACCTTATACTTTCTAGTATTTGTGAGCATTTCTAAAGGAAAATAAGTTTTCATGTTTCAGGAAATCACTGGTTCATCTCAGGATGGTAATAAAATCAAGTTTCAGATAACTTAAACTAAATGAAAGTCGATCACAATGAACATGTGATGAATTTGTTATCTCAGATGTTTAATTGGTCTTGAGCAACAAGAAGAGTTTTCTAATGGAACTGCACAAAATAATGTGACTGATTTAAAAAAACAAAAATCAGCTCAATTTTCAAAGTGTCGTCCCTGAGCCAGCTGATTTCTGGAATGGGAACAAATGGCCCTGAAGCAGAAAAAATATTAAGAAAATATTCGAACATTTAAACCCAATCCATCTATTAATCCATTAGCTATACCCCTTATCTTTTTAGGGTTGTGGGGGGAGCTGGAGCAATTCCCAGCTGAAACTGGGCGAGAGGCGGGGTTCACACTGGACACCCAACCTATTACACGTTTATACAATTATGAGCCACTGAGCATGTTCACAATGTTCTTCTATGGCACTTGACGGATCCTTGATTTAGACTTTATCGCCACCTATTGGCCTGGCATGCTTGTTAGAGCATTTCTTGTCGTTTTTGTGTTCCAGTCTGGATGGAGATATTTTGTAAATCAAACGTTGTGTGGACACAGTTGTTTTTAAATGGAGGGGATGATATCAGCCGTAGTGTAGACAAAGCCTTAGAAACAACAGGCAAGAGACACAGGTCAAGCTTGGATTTGCACCAGCAGGATTCCACTGTTCTACCTCTTTAATAACCTTATATACCCTCCATTGGTAGGAAACCAGCAGTAATGCAGAGCAGTGTGCATAGTGCCACTATATTGTCTCAATGGACTCACGTTTCATCTTAAAGTCACCAGGTAATCTCGCCCACATTGAAATAAATAGTGATACAGAAACTTTTGCACTTTGATTTATTCATCTGATAACACTTGAAGCAAACATTTTCCTCTGATATAACACTGAAATGAGATTTACAGCTGCGTTATAATGTGAATCTAAACTGCAGCTCTCCTGTACACACAGTCCAGGATTTCATTTCCACTTAAGTGGAAGAATAAATCTTCCCGACTTCACTTTTTGTGATTTGAGTGGAGCTGCGACTCCCACACAGGAATCTGTGCCGCTCTGAGCCTTCATTAAGAAAACTCTCACCACAACTGCCACCTAATCTTTTCTCCACACCACCACCTACTTCCACAGCTCTCTTCCTTCTCACAACAATATTAGGACAGTGCTCACTCCTCCTCCTTTAACATGCTCTGTCGTCGAAGTTTAAAAGCTGCACAACAGACCCATTCCCAATTTGCCTCGCTGTTAACTCTTGTATTTTGCTCCATCCTCTCTTTGCCTCTATTTTTATTTGACATCAGGTTCACCCAGCTAATCCTTTGTTCAGTAAAAATCTCCTCTGTGAATCAACAAACAATCGTTAACCACATTTACTCACAGACACAACCGTTATCTATAAGTTTTAAGAGTACGCTCATTTCTTGAATCATTCTATCTGTTTAATCGCACTCGGCTCCCGTCTAAATCCGTTTATGTGGTGTTAAGTGTGTATATATTGTTTGTTTTGTTCTTTGTGGGGGTTTTATGCTCAAGAAGCACTAAATCTTTGATTTCTATTAATAATTTACAATCTTACCATCTATTTTTGATATTAAGAGTTCAGTTCTGAGACTTCTCTGAAACAATCAAATTTCACCCTGAACTCCTGCAATTCTCTTGAAAGATTAAATTAGATCTCATCAGCACTAATAATTCAGGGTTAAAGCAACACTGGAAGGAAGTGGTCTTAAAACCTAAATTATGTACTAGCTTCGCCAAGGAGGTTTTGTTTTCACCCCTGTCTGTTTGGTTTGTTTGTAAGCAGGATTATGCAAAAACTACAGATTTCCTCAACACTCGGAGGAACCATGCAATATGAGTCAGGGAAGAACCCATTCATTTTTTCATAACATTTGGCTAAATGTCCTTCTAACCTGACATTAAACACAGTCACAGTAAGGGATCTAATCCATGTCCACACAGACATTTAGCAGGTTCTTTCAAGACGCATGTCCCAACCTTCCAGCAGGTTTGGTGGAAATTCGTTTAGTAGTTTTTGCATTATCCAGTTAAAAATCAAACAAACCAACCAACCAACACACAAACCAACTAGAATGGTTCTCAATAGAGCACATACCTCCACCAAGACCCAAAAGACCCCTTATATTCAATCAAACCGCACCAAATGTCATATACTCATACTTAACAGGCCGCTAAGTATGCCTGATTATTTATTTCTTGAGAAATTCACAAACATTTTGAAATACCTCTTATAAAGAATGTTAAAGAAAGTGTCAAAAAAAAATAAATCTTTTCAGTATGTTTTGCATAATCCTGCTGACAAACTAACAGCTATGAAAACATCTTGGTGAATGTAATAACACAGTGGAATGCAGCGGCTCTGGGGGAGGAGCAGAAACATCTCACCTGTAGAAGTAGGAGCAGCCTCGCACTGTGTTGTGGCTGAAATATTCTTGGGTTTTCTCATTGCCAAAGTCTTCCAGAGGATCAGCCCACAGCAGGTCACACATGGGCCCGAAAGCTGGCGGCTCCTTGAATCGATCCAACTTAACATAAAGAAACAGAAGTGCATTAAGAACACACAAACACACAGTGACTGTTCTGTGAGATCTAGTAGTGACAAGGCACTGGGTGGTTACCTTTTTAATGTCATCTAAGGTGTGTATTTCAGGTGAGAGTCCACCATGGACACACAGAAACTGTTGGTTCATGAGTGCAGCCAGGGGAAGGCAGTCAAATGCATCCATACATGAGTCATAGACCTGCTCTGAGTACTTGATTTTACCTGAGAAGAGACACAAATGTAATTAGTTGCAGCAGTTTTAAAATTCACAACATGACAACTAGTCACAAGTCATATTTGTATTTGACTAGTGCTTTACACAAACACCAGTATGGTATTAGAAAAATGCACAAATCAAAGAGAGGTGAGGTAATATTTATAACGCCATGAAATAACATTAGAAATAATGAGAATTGGTTCATTTATTTTTCCGTCATGTCTCTACATTTTCTTTTTCGTGTTCTTTATGTGCATCGGTTTGCATGTATGCATACTGGGACATGCATTTGTTTTTCTTTCTACGTTTTTTTTAAAGTTTCAAGTGTTTACGCATTCTTTCTTTTATAATTCCAACTGCCTTTTTTGTGCTGTCAAACAGAATTAACTTGACAGTTCCCACAGACAGGTGCATTACTTGAAATTTTTACCGAAAGTGCTCCCGGCTACGCATGACATTTACAAGACAGAGAGAGAGAGAAAGAGAGAGAGAGGGGAATGAAAAACACTGAGAGATACTCACATTCTTGTTTGAAGGTGAAATATTCTGTCAAATGTCTACATTCATGATTTCCACGAAGTAAAAATAAAGTCTTTGGATAGAGGATTTTCAGTGACCAAAGGTATAAAACACACTGTTGAAGCAAACACATAAACAAAATGTTATTACCTGTGCATGGATGCAAAAATAGACTGTATATAAAGATGGAAGACACGTCTCCACCTCCTCCCACAATCCATTTGGGAGAAAGAAATTATCACATGGCCATGAAATAATAACGGATGGTTATGGTATGGAAACTAGAGAATAAGTCCTGCACCGTACACTGACTCTGATTGAGGCCACACTCTGGTGGAAATCTTTGCAAATAACTGTCAATAAAAACATAGGGCTCTATCCTCATGCACCATGGAGCACCGTGCAAAACCTAAATCTTACAACGTATGTCCTGCTTAACATGCAGGAGGGACATTTTATGATTTGTACTGCAGCCAGCCACCAGGGGGGGATCGAGATGCTTTCGCTTCACTTTCAGGGAGCTGTAATGTTGTCCATCTTTATATACAGTCTATGGCAAAAATCAGTATAGCATGTTACAGTAACCATAGGCAGCTCTGTCTATTCCTCAAGACATACTTAATAATAATATTAATGATAAAACTTTATTTATAGAGTTCTTTAATGCAGAAGTAGTAGGGCTAGGCATTTTACAGTAAAAACAAAAAATATTATTGTTAAAATTAAACAATATGAAAGACTTAAATTAATCCAAAGCCAAATCAAATAAATAGGTTCTCAGTTGTCCTTGAAAGATATGCTAATGGTTTTTACCTCAATACTGAAGTAGCCGCGGTCAACGTAGTCTCCGAGGAACAAGTAGCGCGTTGTCGCTGGTGATCCTCCCACTTCAAACAGCTTCATAAGATCAAAGAATTGCCCATGGATGTCCCCACACACTGAAAGACAATCAGAGGACGGCAACCGTTACACAATGAAAGGAACTCGCTCTGTTTTGTGCGTCTGTCTCTGTGTGTACATTCATCTCTGTGCTATCATTTGGTCATTCTGGCATCATCCATTGATTAACTCAAACAATGACAGTAGTCTCACTCCAGGTCGACAAGGCTGAGTGGGCAGCCCCTGAAACCCACTCATAAATAAACGTATGCAGTTGTAAATATGTTTTCATGAAGCCAAATATCAAACATGGCTCTGTTTCTTTACACAACAGCCATATTGTGTGAGTTTACATGTATGTGTACATGTGTAACGCCTGCATTTGAAAAGAGCTTCTCAGATGAAACTTTTCTTCAGCTTTGGCTTTGTTTGTTAGATACTTAATTGCTTGATATCTAAGCAGTAAATTACTTATAAGCTGTCAGTGATAATGAAGTTTACTATACAGTGAAATATAAATGTTATGTAACCATATACATATATTATATTATCTGTTAGTTTGCAGGATTATGCAAAAACTACTGGACACAAAACTTGGTGGAAGGATGTGGTATGGGTCAGGGAAGAACCCATAACATTTTGGTATGGATTGAGAATTGGGGGCAAATTCAGGATTTCTTTTTCACTTTATTGAACATTGTAAGATGAGTGTTTATAAACTATTTCACTGATGTTTTTCAATGGATAATTAATGGAACTTGGTGAAAAAGAAACTGATGTTCAGTGGACTATGCAATTTGGTGCAGATCCAGATAAAAATCCAGATCCAGTGAATTTAAATGTGGTTTCTTAAGGGGACTGTTGGGCCTTGGTGGAGGTATGTGGTCTCTAAATGTGCCATTCTCGTTAAAAGATGTAACAGCCATTGGCATGTACACATTTCTACATTATTTTATGCAAGAGGCTGACCCTCCCTCAATGCTTTCCACCTATCAAACATAGTGTAAATTATATTTATGTTTGCATATACCATCTTGTAGATTACCTTATCTTTCTCAGCTTTAGAGTAGAAAAGTTACATAAATACAAACCAAACCATACTTTTTCAATTTTCATAATTCAATTAATGATAATTATATACAGTATACATATTGTTTTCCTTTCATCAATTTAGATCTGGAACTATATAATGTGGCAGCTTACATGCATGTAATATGAGTGATGTTTAACAATGGCGGAGTGACATGATATAAGCTGTGATGTGCCACTCTGGTTGTGGGTAGTTCAGTTGGATTTGGACATTGAATGTGAACAGAGTTACCTAGATGAAGCTGTCACTGTGCACTTGCTCTACCTGCAGCCCTAAATTATTCTTAAGGCTCCGGAGAGAACCCTGCCTTTCTGTATTTTTTAATATTATCAATATAAACATTTTATTCTTAACTGCTTAGTCTTTGGAGCTTCTCAAATGTCTCAGCAGAGCTATAGACGAGGCCGTGAGTAATGAAAATAATATTCCTGCAGAATATTAAGTATAATCTATCTACAATTATGCCTCTTCCGACTATATAAAAAAATTTGAGCACTTTGATCTGTGGACATGATCAAATCATTTTTCTCAGGTCATCATCCTCTTGAGATTTCTCTGTGCTCTTCGGCTGAAAGGTCTTCGCCCTCGGCAGACCTCAAAGAGTCAGGAAAAGCTTGAGCCCCCAGGGAGATGCATACTTTTTCATAGTGAACACCATTGCTCTGGAGTGCAAACCTACATCTCATTTCCTCGCTGCCTTCAATTTTTCATTATCATCTTTCTCTGTCTCCTTCTCTCCTACTTATCCTCCATCTCCTCTCTCTTCTCTGGCTCCTCTATCAGCTCTACAGTGGCCTTCGCCCACTCAAAGCTTAGAGCAATGTGAGTGGGAGACTGCCTGTGTGACTAAAGCAATCAAACACACACACACACACACACACACACACACACACACACACACACACACACGTACAGACACAGACACCCATAGAACGAAAGATTCCCAAGTGAATAAATGCCTCATAATATATGAATCCAACACACACACAAACACACATAGACATTCGAACACGACTCACAAAGATATAAAACAGACCTCCACACTCACTCCGATACACAACGCTCAGTTCATCATCCATATTTCATGCTTAATACATAAAGCCTCCATTTTCCTGACGCCAGACGAGATGAGGAGCCCGAGACTTCTCCTCGAATCAACATGCGTTTCATCAGTTGTCACCTTTGTTTCAGATAAACAATGTACTTTCTCTGAAGAAAGACAATTGTGCCGTTGTAGAACTAATTATATGCATAATTACATGTATATTTAATATCACACAGTTTTGGGTGAGGCTGAATGACGAGCCGAAGTAAAGAGAACCTAAGTGTGTGTGGGATCATCATGCACCAACATCACATGTTCTTGTTGCAAAGGATTTACATGAATTTCAAGACTTTATCAAACAGCACAGAGGTGCATGCAGAATTTTGTATAACAATAACTTTGATTTGAGCAAAATGATGATACACTTTAGGGCTCAACTGCCACTATTCTATACTTAGACTACTCTGATGGGCATGGATATCAAGGGCTCTATCAGCATAGGACCAGGAATCATTTGACTGTTTTAATTTCGGAATTGCACCATCAACATTGTGGCGGAATAGTATCATAAGCTGCTTTCAGACATGCACTGAACTCTGCAGTTCCTCTGTATGTTGTCCAGAGGAGGTGCATGTGTGAACACAAATGGTCAAGTGAGACGCTTCGCTTCTTGAGACATTCTCCACCTGGCCTCCTAGTAGAAAGTCAGTAGAAATCCAGGAGAATCTGATGTGTGAAACCCTGCTGTGTCCACACACGTGGAAGATGTCAAGAGAGTTTGTGGTGATAAGAACAAATTCAGGTGTCTTTGTGTCCTAAAAGAAATCGCGTGATCTTCGCAGCGGAGTTAATACGTCACTTCCTGCCTCCGTCTGCTGCACCCGGCTGCACTGCCTCTTGCCTGAATAATGCGGAGGATTTGTGCAGAGTACCCCCTGCTGTGTTGTGGATGTGGGAAAGGCAGATTGCAGTTAAACTCTATCCAATTCTCTGGACTCTACCGACATGTCACGATTGAAAACGACTATATGGTCTCACTTTGAATCCAACCTAATTGCTGCAGTCTCATAATAATTAACAGAATCATTTATATATTATCTTGTATATCATAAATCATAAATATTATTGTAGTATTATTGTTATCATTTCATATTATTGTTATTATCAAAACAACATTGTTATGCCGTATATTAAACACCACTATGACCGAAACACTATACCAACCTTTCTGTCCGCAAGGCATGCAACCTGTCCAAGATCACACCATCACACACACACACACGTCTGTACCTTTATGTTAGTGAGGACATTGACCTTCTACGTAAAGTGCCTTGAGATAATGTATATTAGGATTGAATTGACATAATGCTTTTCCCTAGCCCCTGACCCTAACCTTAACCACCCATACTTAATGCTTAACCCTAACCTAAACCCAATTCTAACCCTAAAACCTAGTCTTAACCCTCAAACAGCCCTTTGAAAAAGTGGGGACCAGCCAAAATGGCCTCACTTTTTAAAAATGGCCTCAATCTGGGGTCTTTGCTTAAAATGGTCCTCACAAAG